AAAAAAAAATGCATGGCCACAAGATAATTATTTCATTTCCATGCAGAGAATGTTGATTGTTTACATGGACCAGTTTGAGTGTGCATTTTATTTCAATAGAAGATAGAAATACAATGACATACTTGTCATTTGCAGTTAGACATGAAGTAATTCTCAGCATTATATGTTGCAGTTTTAAGACACAGGTGGCAAATGGAGTAGTCTTTGTCCAAAAAGCTTTTTTTCTTTTTTCTTTTTGAAGCTCAGCACTCAAAACTTCATGCCTTTGCTACAGTAGAAGCTGAGTTTAATCAGGCTTGTCATGATCTGGGTTTTTGTCTTCATTCTCTACGTGTTTTTTCTGTTCCCYTGTGTTTTCTTTTCCCTGCTGTTTTGCCTCCAGCCCCGCCCACGCACACCTGATTGCTCTCGTGTCTCCCCAGGTGTTTCCTAGTGACTCTTAAGTTGTTTGCTTTATATTATGAGTCTTGTCATCAGTCTGTGTCGGATCATTGTTTACTGTGAGTGTTCTGTGTTAAGTCCTCCTCGTTACTTGTAACTGTACTGTACTCCAGAGAGTTTTTGAGCTGCCTCGGCATCATTTTTGTTTTATAATAAATCTTTGTTGCTTTTTTGAACCTCTCCTGCACCCTGGGTCTTTCCTGCCTGAAACCTCACATAATGATCCGACCAAGTGCCCAGCCTACAAGGAGAGGTTTTTCTGGTCTGCCTCTCTATGAGGCAGATATTTTTGTTTCACCACATGACTGGCTCTGCTTCTCCGGCCTCTGAGGAAACGGTCCCGACCTTGACTCCGTGGAAGGAGCAGAGGAGGCAACCGCTGATCAGCGGCTCACTGACCATCCTCCGGTGGTCCCCCACTCCCGCTTGCTGGCAGATCGAGGATGTTCTGGTGGGTCGCCCAGATCTGTTGTTCCTGCCCGGCCATCGGCAGCTCCTCAGTTTTGTTTGGAGGGTTCTGGCTGAGCAGCTCGTCACCCACCCTCCCTCCCCTTCTGTTGTTCCTGTGCTGGCTGCTGCAGTTGCTGGGGGTCTGCATCTGTCTCTACTGGATCTTCTGGGTCTGCTGCTGGGTCTGCCGCTGGGTCATCTGAGTCTGTTCCTGAGTTGGTGGTCCCAGTTCCTGAGTTGGTGGTCCCGGTGGTTCCAGAGTCGGCGATCCTTGAGGTTCGTGGGTCGGCTACCGGCCCCTCCACGTCATTTGGGTCGGTTGCCGTTGCCTCCACGTCGCCCATCGCCTCCTCATCGCCTGGGTTGTCGCCAATCGCCTCTGTCGCCTGCGTTCGCTGGCTCTTCTTCTGCTCCTGCCTCCTCCCTCAGCTCAACATCTGCTCCTGCCTCCTCCCTCGGCTCTTTGTCTGCTCCCGCCTCCTCCTGTGGCTCTACGTCTGCTGCAGTTCCTGCTGGGCCTTGCTTGGGGTGGTCTCCTGGCCGTCCCCCTGAACTGTGTGTTTTGTCCTTGAGTCTGTGTTGTCTTGTATTTTCCTGAGTCTCGTCCATCTCCTCTTTTCGATGTCGGGAGCCGTTGTTGAGGAGAGGGTCCTGTCATGATCTGTGCTTTTGTCTTCATTTTCTGTTTTTTTCTGTTCCCCTGCTGTTTTGCTTCCAGCCTCGCCCACACACACCTGATTGCTCTTGTGTTTCCTAGTAACTCTTAATTTGTTTGCTTTATATTCTGARTCTTGTCATCAGTCTGTGTTGGATCATTGTTTACTGTGAGTGTTCTGTGTTCAGTCCTCCTCGTTACCTGTAAGTACACCAGAGAGTTTTTGAGCTGCCTCGCCAGCRTTTTTGTTTTATAATAAACCTTTGTTGCCTTTTTTGAACCTCTCCTGTGCCCCGGGTCTTTCTTGCCTGAAAMCTCATAATGTTCAGGAACACAGTAAAAAGGCTTTCCTAACACCTAGGGCATTCAACGTCATCTCGTATATACTAGTCCTATGAAAAGTGAACTGTTTAGATACCAAAATATAAATGAAAGTGTGTGGTACCTTTGAACACTTAACACAAAACAGCATATCTTTATATAMTCTGCCTCCAATAATGTCTGTATGTCATAACAACAAACTTAATTCAGCTGCTCAAAATTACAGCATCTCTTGTCCACACATTTATTTTTTGTTTTWTCTAATGTCACTAAATGGGCTCCGTGTATTTTTACTGGATGCATGGGTCCTTTGTTTCCTAATGCRTACAATGAAGGTTAACTGGTAGAGCTAGTGAGGCCTCGTTTTTTTTTTATTTATTTATGTTTTTTTCAGTTTAACTACATAAGTCCTTTGGTCCACTTGTTTGGTCCGGACCAAATAGACTTTTGTTTCCTTTGGTGTGGTTTGAATTCACATTGTGTTTTTTGTAAATGGACTATAATTTATTAACAAAGCCACACGGGTGACGGTCATTGCTCCTATTGGACAGAAATGACGAGGGGAGGACAGAGCACAGACCCAGAAACAAAGATGGTGCTGTTAATACAACTATTAAGAATATCAAGAGCAGCTCATTCAAAGGTGGTTCTAATTTTGGGACAGTGTTGTCAAATGCGTGCCACAACCTAAAAGAGACAAGATGCTACAATGGCTCATTTTTTGCTTCCTGTAGTTGGTTCGGGTTCAAGGCCAATATGTTTTCACACCAGAAGTGAACAGCACCAGAGTTCATTTGGAAGCGGACCGAGACCACATCAAAAATGTGTCTCAGTCCGGTTGTTTGATCTGCACCAAGGTCCAGACAAACAAGGGGAAACAAACTCTGGTCCGTTTAAAGCGGACCAAATGTGTCAGGTGTGAATACACCCTAAGACAGTGGTTCCCAAACTTTTTGTCTTCTGACCCACAAAATATTCATGGCAAAAATT